ACGTTCGAACTAATTCGCAAGCGTTTTCGTATATATATGCGCGCCCATATTCTTCCCGAGCACGAGTTATCGCGAGCGATAAGTACCCTCATTCACCGAACTTTGAACTAGTTTATGTTGTTTCATTCTGTAAGTCTACGTTGATGATGAATATTTTCTATTGTAATGACAATTAATTTGCGCGAAATTTCAAAACTTTGACTTCTTTTTGTTCGCTATTATGCAGATAATGTCACTTCAATGCAAATCAAGTTACACGTGTAGCGCAATTTCTGGCTTGTGAGCAATTTAGAAATTCACCGACGTGTAGCTGCAAATGTCAAGTGAAGATGCGCAACAAAGTTGGTTATTTAATTTTAAATTCATTCACCGAGCTAGGCCAGTTTTATTTGACATTTCTAGAAAAACAATTGTTTACAGTCGAGAACCAAAGCATCTAAAATTGAAAGCAGGTCAATGGGATAAAATTAACTAATGCAGTTAGAGTCTTTCGCGAAAAAAACCAGCACTCTAATTATCTCTCGAATCTCATTGAAAATTTACCCTATATATCAGCTTTTCTATCGCAAAAATACGTACGCATTTTGCCGCACGTCATTGTCATCGAAACTTTTTTTTCTCATCGAAAGATTTTCGACTGTGAATTCTTTTTCGTGGAACTCTCGAATAACTTCGAGCTAGATCTTATATATCGAAATAGCTCTTGATGTACTCGAAAAGTCAGCTTTTCGAGCTTCTTTTTTTTTCGAGCGTATAAGATAAAAAATCGAAAACGAATTCTGTCCTCGTCGTGGTTTCGAACTTTCACTCGACATTCTTTGGAATCTTCGATTTTCAATTCAGGTTTTGTAATTTGTTGTGCCACATTGTAATTTTTCCAGCTTCGATAGAAGATACTTATATAAAGAATGTTTTTCAAGATAAATAATTATTCTTCATTATTGAAGGAAATAGTTTGAAATAAACTTTTAATGACCAAACAACAGTGGTTCTTTTTTCTCTGAAAATTAATGAAAATTTTGGCAGACAGATTCAAAGGTTGAACTAACATTATTTAATTCGTACATTTCTAGTTAAATTTATCGATTCGTAAGCTAATTGTTGAAGCCTGTCAGTTAAATAAGGACACTAAATAATACGGCAAAGCAAACCATTAGCCATCAAATGGATTTGATCGTTGACCACGTTTGCCTAGAAATATAAACGTTGCGGGTGCTTTCGACCGTTTTTTTATTAAGGATTTTCTTTCCAAAAAAAGGTAAGGTCAGTAGTTTTGTCAATCGTGATTATATCGCCTCAAAATACTCGCTTGTTTACACTCAAAAAAAATTCTAGCTGTCGAACAGAACTTGACAATTCCATTGTCCATTTAATTGGCTCCCGATCAATTTGGCCAGTTAATGTAATTATAGTCGTTCAAATCTCTTAATGGCTCGAATTCATTTACGTAACAAGTCATCGATTTTACCATTGAAAACGTTCCCCGCCTACGAATTACAGAAAGCAAAAAAATATTGATAAAATTTTTGTGTATCAAATTGCATCGCCGATGAAAATAAAAGAGAAAAAATAAATAAATCAGAGCTGTTGCGAAGATACTTTTTACCCACTGCACATTTGTATGAAGTTACAAGTAGCGTTGATCTAGATTCAGCCAGACGTCGGCAAAAAAATTGATCCGTTTCTGCAGAGTGATATCATTTTCACCCTAATGATTCTGAAGAACTCTTCGCTCGCCTCGTAAATTAAAATTCCTGGTATTTTTTGAAAAATTTTCTGTCGAGAATCACCGCGCTATTTTGAAAAAATAATTATCGCGTACAATTGAAAAGTTCTATTTTTGCACTCTAGCTTCACTTAGTTACGAGATACTTTGAGAATTTCCAGAGGTTAAGTGGTAGCATTATTATCCGAATTTCGTTTTCATCCCCTTTTCATTTTATAATTTTTTTTCTCCTTTAACTCTTAGTATTTCTTACTAATATCAGTTACTGCAGTAAATTTATTTTTAAAAAAATATAAATTACTTGAAACTTGTTTCATATCAGTTGACATTATTCAAAATAAGGTGTTTTTTGACAATAGAAAGAGTTTCAGTTTGTGTACATAGACTCTTGGATTATTGAGCATTGTTGAAGCTAAAAAGATGGCTTCGCAAAGGTATCTAAGGACGTGCATAAAGTCCAATAAACTTTACTTTCAGAGTGTGCTAGATACGAAAAAAAATAATAATGTAGTTATAGCTATCTCATTCAAAAACTTGATATTGCATTAATAGTGTGTTTATGAACGCCAAGTTGTAAAAATTATCTACAATCTCGATTGTTTAAATACAAGCCAATTTCGTAATACTCTAACGATTTTGTCGAAGCAAGGTCACACGGACATATTCAAGCTAATGAAAAACGTCGTCAAATTAACTAATGCCTTTCTCGAATTTTCAGCCCGCTCGCGCGCAATATTTTTCAATTTTTTAAATTGAAACTTGAAAAATATTAAGCGACCTACTTCGAGATAAGCCCATTGTTAAAAATCAGCTTTGCCCGCGCGCTGGCGGGCGCCCCCCAAGTGTCAAGTGATCGTCAACGATGTCAAGTGTCTTAAAAGCCTATCCATATTCGTTAAAGAGAAAGCTACTTTCATCAATTTTGTTGTCGCGCGCGCGCGCGAGAATCCGTGCTTTTTATTTCGAATCTCGTTTTTTCATTTTTTATTACAGCGATAAAGCGGGTTTTAGTAGCAAGGACGGTTCGTAAAATATATGAAAAAAAAAAAAAGAAAATTAACGCGTTTTACACTATTCCGCGTACGCGGATTACAACGTTTATCGATTAAGCGGCACGAGTAAAATAAAATCAGCGATACAACTATCGCTATAGCGTAAAATAATTTTTCAAAAAATGTCGTCGTTCTCGTTGCTTTTTCACAGTTCCCCAACGTATCGTATTCTTCTTGGCCGGGTCATGAGCGTTGTAACTCGTCCACGATCAAACCATTATTTATAGTTTATTTACACAGCTCCGTGACGGTGACGTTTTAAGCGAGAGCTATATGTACACCGCTTGCTGCTGCAGCGAGAGAGTGACGCATTTGAGAAATCGGCCCGACATTATGGAACTATTTAACTACCCCTGCGTCGTTGTGTCGGTGTCCAATTACGTGGACGATGAATCATTTTGATATTTTTGCTCCCCGTCTTTTTCTCGTCGTCGTCGTCGTCGCTTTGTACTCGTCGCCGAGCCGCGCCGGCACTGTATATACACACGTCTCTTTTCTCTCTGGATACGAGCTTTTGCCCAGCATCAGCACCTGTGTGTGCGCGCGTGTGTGTATACCGTATCGTGGGCTTTATAGAGATATAAACTAGACAAAAAAAATCTATAAAAAAATTTAAAGCTCAAACAAGTCAAAATATAATTGAACAAACAAGAATATTAAATCGAAAAAAGTTGAATAAAATTCCAAAATGAAATGGGAATGTTCCCTTAATCGGTTGATGGATAGCGAATTTATAGAAGCGAGAGGGTATGCATAATTTCTTGAAAAATTATTCATTACCTATTAACTAAGTATGCATTAGTGTGTACTTACATGGATTTATATAAGCGTTTCATACGAAGTTTTACTTGAAATACGTAAAACTAGCAATAAGAAAAACCTAATTGTCAAAAAATCGTCGTTTCTGAAAGAACATCCGATCGAATGATCTCGAGCTAGATAGAGTCGATTAAATCACGACATAACACCTATCGATAAACTTCCCGAAACTTTGTCCACGAGGTCAACGGCTCAAAAACTAGATACCGTATACGTCGAAGCTCGCAGCAAGTCGCAGATTTCGAGAGCTGTTTTTGTATACTTCGTGACCCTCGTGGTATTCTGCAAATTGAATTCTCTTCGCCCGCTGCTTCTGCTGCTGGTCACACGAACGATATAGCTACGGGACCTCTTCATTTCCACTTCGATCACACACGTACACACGCTTTAACCCACACAACGATTTCTACTATAGCAGCTTATATCGCTGCGCTATTACACAATAGCGTGCCAGGACGACGACGACGACTGGCTTGATATTCCGTGCCATTCGGCGCGTCGCGCTCTGTGTGCTACTCTGCGCCTGGACGTCTATCTGCTGAAAAGCTGCTGCTGGGACGATGTCGTTGCGGCAGCGAAGGGCGCATGCAATTCGCATTATCTTCCGGTTACAAGCCGCGCTACAACATCTATATACAGGGGCGCCTTTACATACCCCCTTCGACGCTATACCGTACCACACACACGAATCGATGTATAGCTGTAGTCCGAGGTATAGCCGTCACCGACTCACGCGCGCATATAGTCAGTGTATATTGTTTCGCGTGTTTACTCTGTGGCAGGTGCACACATGTATACGCGTTTAATGTTTGTGCGTATGTGTAGTACTGTGATCAGGCCATATACCCACAATGAGCGATATATTGGCCGAGAGGTATGTGCAGTTTCCCTCCCATTTCTCCACGGCAAATATAGTCCGCACCGTACGTTGCTTACATACGCGTGCACTCGCGTATGTACGTGCCTATATGCGTGTGTATTCCGATCAAATACGGCGAGCAGTGTATGCCTTTCATATGTCTGCCTTCGAGGAGTGCATGTAATAGTCTTGTTGACACTGCACTGCACTCCCCGTTAGTGTACGAGATGATAATTGAATTTTTTTTCGTTGCTTATTCTCCGCGCGAGATTTCTTGGATCGATTGACACCTAACACCAAAGATTCTGAAAAAAATCGTATATACCTCTCGCGAGTTGTTGGGACGTAAATTTATGTTGAAGTCAAAAAAAAACCGGGAAAGACGCGAAACTAAATAGTAGCTTGAAATTATTCACAAATTCTGCAGAAGAAATAACCAGGCGACGAACTATTTTTCTTTTAATTTATCTGAAATACGAAAGAAAGAAAATAAACTCTTTTATAATCGATTAAAAAGTCTTATTAAAATTTTAGAAACCACATATACTATAAATACAGTTTTTTACAATAAAAACAATTTTTTCATAATTAAAAATACAGTAATTATGATCAGAAGATTATAAGTCATAAGGTTAACAGAAATTTCTCCTTTTAATATCTAACATAGCCAATGCCACTGCATCGATGAAGGAATTTTTTGTCGTATCGGGACTCACAGTCACGGAATTGATTTCTTCTTTGAAAAAGTTCCTCACGTCTTTATCCGATGTAATTACGCGGTTTTCTTCCGGGCTTGCAAAAAATTTAACGCGCATCGACCAATCGCTCAATTCTATTATGCGCGCTGGCCAGAAGTACTTATTGGACTGTCTCGCTAATATTATCTGGTCGCGTAGGTAACGCAGAGTAAAGCCAGGGTTTTCCGATTTCGACGCGACTGAAGGCGAAGCAGACTTAACCGAAGAAACTTTTGACTTGATCAATTTTGACGTGACTGAAGGCGAAGCAGACTCGACCGAAGAAACGACTGGCTTATCCGATTTCGATGCAATGGAAGAAGGAGCAGAATAGTCTGCGAATGTTACTGTTTTTGGAGGACGGGGTTGCTGGTAGTCCGTGGACAAGGTTGTTTCACGATCTTCGACGCGATCAAACGTATTTGGCGGTGGAACATTTTCTTTAGATCCACTGAGTGGACTGAAAAGGCTGTGCAATCAAAAATTACAATACCGTATGAGCTATTTTTAAAAACAAGTATTGCGACAACACCTAGCTGTCAAGAATAAAAAAATTATCGAGACGTTTTAATTTATGATAATGTAATTACTTACATCGATTGAATCGACGCTTGTTTTATATATGCCTTCTCTTCATCGTCAATTTCAATGCCTTTCAGATACGATCGTATCCTGTTCAATAATCCCTTGTCCTTTGTAAACTTCTGGCATCTGAAAAAAGATCTGGCCGATCTAATTACGAACTCGTCGGGTTTGTTGCGCTTTGGAAGACCGCACAATTCGTTGTACAGTTTGATCACGTGAAAGTCGTTGCTACGATATATCTTCTCGTATTCTTCGTCACTTTTGCCCGGATACATGACGTATTCGACGCAGGCTACGGCCAATATGCCGCGATTTATTCGATAAAGATTAACCAGCTTCAAGTAATCGATGGTAAGAGTGCGAATCGTTTTTCTGAACGTGTCCGATTCGGACGAGTCGGGTGGACAAGTCACGAATCTGGACATCCCGTCGCGCAGCACCTTCCACACCATGTCATCGTCCTGTAAATCTTCTAGTTCAATCTTTTCGGTCTTTAAATAATCCACCAAATTAATAAGATCGTCCGCGTGGATTTTATTAGTGAAGTACGCTGGACTCATTGTAACTGACGTCATTTTTTTTTCTTAGCGTCTAATGCTCTGACACCGATGAAACGATATATATTTGAAACTATTGGATGTTTGATGAATAATATAAATATTTTATTCAGAATATAGATTAATTAAAATTACAATCTGATTTGAGAGACGTCCGAGTATAATCACGAGTCTATCGATACTAGCAGTTACACAAACATATACCCTCTTTGTGTCGTGTCAACATCGTATTCCCGCGCTCACACTCATACCAATACAAACACAACCGTCGTAGAATTACAAATACGAGCACTTAATTTTAAAATTTCTCTTGTAACATTATTTTACTTTCTTGTCAATTAAATATTTCAGTTTTGAGAACTAAGCTGCCTGTCGTGCTTGATCGGTCAAAACTTCCGCCAACTAATCTTTCAAGATATCTGCATTTTCAGCATATGAATAGGCTTAATTTTCCACATTCTCTTTAGTTTCAAGATTCTTTCTATCGTCTCCCAGTGTATTCTGCAATGTGCTCGTCAAAAAACGACTCAAAATATGTATTTACAATGTATATTGATCCGCTATTAGCTCTGTTTTTTCACGTGGTTTTATTTTTCCAGGCTTTTTCGTGGCGCAACATTATATCATCATACATTGCGTTAAGTTTTTTTTTCTAATTTCTTTAACAAATCTGATTTATATCCAAATTTCTTTTGACACCTGTCGCATGTGTAATCTTTGTGACCTTCGAGGACTGTTTTTTGGTGTCTTCGCAAATTGCTTTGTTCCGCAAATTTCTTATCGCACTTGTCACAAGCGAAATCTTTGCAACCCTCATGGATTTTTTTTGGTGGGGCAACAAGTTGATTTATTTCTAAATTTCTCGTCCTAATACAAATCAAATGCGACTTTAGTTCGAATCGTGCTTCAACTTATGCGATTATTTTATCTTTACCACTTGTGGGTATGCAGATAAAGGTACTCGCCATCTAGTGGTGGCAGCTTAAAGTAATATCATAGTATTTAAAGTGATTCCAAATTGGCCTAAAGATTTCAAAACAATAAAATTACTATTTTCAGGTCATTCAAAATGCGCTCCGTACAGCCAACATATAATCCCTTAAAACCAGCCTGATAAAGATACAATAGACTTTCTAAAAAATCGATCCAGGAGAGTCCTCAAACTGCTCGATCGGAATCCATTTATGCCTTCTCCGTAATGAACCGACCTGCCAAAGACACTGCCATAAGCTCGTGCGCAACTTTGTCGATAGCTTTATACATCATACATATATTATGCAGATAAACGATCGACGCTCGCGAGCCTCGCAGGCGCAGCTCCCCGAGAGCTGCCGCTGACGCGCCCGCCGCGCGTTCGGTGCCACGTGGATATAAGATTCTATTAACGCCGCGATAAATGAAATTGATAAAGTTCGCCTGGCTAGCCCTCGTTGGGTTATCTCTCTGTATTATGCGCGCGTCGAGTCGACTAAAGACGCACGTCGGAGCTGCTGCTTCTTCTTCATTTTTTTTCTTTTTTTTTTTGGCTCTTCCTTATATATACACCTCTTTTTATCGACTATCGAGTGCAGCGTAAGATATTCTCTTTTCCATCGACTACGGACCTTTATGGTCGCGTGCGTTCTTACGCGATGTATATATAGCAACTTTAACGAAGTTTTATCTTTTGGTCTAAAGCACTTTACAAAGAAAATTAATAAAAGAAGGATGAAAATCTCATCTAGGACGGCAGCTGCATTGCGACACCTCTCCTCGTGATCGATATAGAAATTCTTTTGCTCGGATATCGAGAGATAATTCGCGGATCATTTTGAAATTCAATCGCTACGATTGCGCGCACGTTTCCATGTGCAGTATCGCGATAATATTAACCTTTCCCCGGATACATATGAGATATGCATTTCAAGCCCGCGAGCGAGATGATTAAATTTTTTTTTTTCGGAAAATTCATAGATACATATAAAATTTAATCACGGGCGAATTCGATTACTTCGCCTACATACACCAGGCAACTATCGGTACCGCCGCGCGCGTTTCTACGTATATAACGGCAGGGCTACTACGCGGGGGCGAGTAATATAAAAGTTTATATATACGAAAATCTCTCCGGGGTTATCGAACGCGCGAGCCCGAGCCCTGCAGAGTACACGTAATGAGATAAGAAAATGAGTTTCTTCTTCTTCTCCTCCTTCTTTTTTTTTAATCCCAACCAGAGATGTGCGAGTAGTGTATGTGTGTGTGTGGGTTAACTCGGATGCCGCACAGGGAGGTGAATCAACACGCTGCTGGTGGCGATGGCTGGTGCGGTGATGCTTGTGTATTGGTAAAGCGATACAAGAAGCGCGTAGCGATCGATAGCGCGTGTAAGGGGGTTAGCTGTACAGCAGCATCAGCAGCAGCAGCAGCAGCAGCACCGTGCTAATCTTGGGTTTGAGAGAAAAAAGTAACTTTCCCAGTCTCTCCAGTGTGTATAGAGCTCTCTCCCTCTCTTCGGTGAAGGAAACAGGATTTTTTTTACTTTTGCCCTTCTTCGGCTACTACTACTACTACTACGCGCACGCAACGACCTTTTGACTTTTTCCACGCGCGCGAAAAGAGAGATGCGAGTAAGAGTGCAGCGAAGAATGAGAAAAAAAGAGAAAGAGAGAGCGAGCTATAAGGCTGTACACACACAGTACTTTTGGCTGCTATTGCCGAGCAAGTTGGATTCTCTCGCTCTCTCTGTGGTTCTCGAAACTTTTTTCCTCGCTAGCCGGCCCTTTCGCTCCCAATCCATCCTCGTGCTGGCACGAGATCCGGGGCTGGCTGTCGATACAACATAATTTTTACACTCAATTTAAAGTTTGAGCCGTTGCAAGCTGCTGCGCGTGCAACATGCTATACAGCAGCTACATTTATACTGCTGACCGGGTGCGCGCCAGCCAGCAGGGCAAATTCCTTCGAAGATCAAGCGCGCGGGGGTCGTCGAGCTTTGAAAAGAAATATACCGGATGATCAGCTTACTGCTCCCTCTGGTTTTTTTTTTGTGTAAGACTCGTGACACGAGGAAAGTAGACGAAGAAGAAGAAAAAAGTAAATCTCACAAAAATGTTTGTATTGTATCGTTTTAACGATACCTACTGCACAAGTAATACGTCGGCGAAAGAGCTAAAAATAATCTTTTTTTTATTTTTGTTTCGTTCCATATAATAACACTGGAGATCGGAGATTTACCCTCATTTTATCATTGTTATTATCATCGTACGTATGGAAAAGCTAAAGGGCAATTAGTAACTGCGGAAAGAGAGCGAGGGAGATCCTTTAAGACTTCCGGCTATTTAGCCGGAGTTCTCGTTTTCGAACACGCAACTCCGGCTGTGTATTATAGTTGAAGCGTCACGCGCGTTTCAGTCGCGCCGAGACTATATCGTCGCCCCAGCGCAAGAACAGCACTAATAAACTCAAGTGGCAAAAAGGTGCCTTAATCGTATCCTTTTAACATAGGACTAAGGCACGTTTTTGCTACTTGAGTTATTTGTGCGGTTCTTGCGCTGGGGCGACGATATACCGATAAAAAAAAAGAACGAACGAGAGAGAGAGAAAAGGAAGAAAGACTTTTCATTAGTTTAAATGAACTTGCCACGCTCGGGGTTTATTACTTTTCCCCGAGACCTCCTCGCACCCGCACACACACAGACACACACACACATACACACACTATGAGCAATAAAGTTGTGCCACAGTCGCCGCCGAGTTTTGTTCTCCTATAAATCGCGCTTTACGCCGCGCGGCATTTAAAAGCTCGTTACTTAAAGAAAACTACACCCGTGGGAAAATCCGCGCAGATCTCTTCTTTCTCTCTCCCTCGGCTCTGTGTCGATGCAATAATCTCGAATGGGCGCCGGGGCGTAGTGTACTGTACGCGGTCGTCGTCGTCGTCGTGTTGTGTGCATGTTTCCCTTTGTCTTTGCTCTTATATGTCGTTTTACAATCTATTTAAAAACTTGTTTTCGTCTTTGACGAGACGTTTCGGCGCTGTGTTCCTATATTATATTAATAGAAAATCAATGCGGTGTAAATTCGTTCTGTTGTTGGACTTCTTTTTTTTTTTTTCATCGTGACACAGTGCAGTGGCCCAGCGTGTAGCCAACAGCTCGCCCAAATCCCCCCGAGGCCAAAGTAGTGGTAGCAAAGTGAATCCCTTGTCGAATTCGTTGCGAAAACGACGATGTGGATATATATGGCTGATTCTCTGGGAAATGGAGTGGCCGAGAAAATGATTTTCCGGTGGTGGTTATCATTTGTGTATGAAATTTTTAGAATGTTAGATATATGAATTTTAACAATTTAGCTAGATGCCTTTGAAAATAGGTGATTAGTGATATCCATAATTCGCTCTTATTCACTTTTGTGTTCAGTAATCAGCCGGTATAAAGCCAGGTTATCATCTGAAGTTTGATTGAATTGTTAATTTAATCTAGGTCGCATACAATATTGACTCGACTCAATCTTTTTTACTTTATTTCTACACAACAAATCAAGCATTGTATGTATTTTTAATATAGCTTGAGTTATTTATACTGGTACTTCGGAAGGTAAAATAGCAATGAAAAAATTCACGATCCCGATTAGTTTAAATTTTATTTTTAATCAATAACGCCGGTGCAAAAATGGCAATTGAAATGTGAAAAACAACTTTATTTATATAAATTGTGGTTAGCCAAGAGCAATGTAGATGTTGCGTGTATGCATTTATTGTATTAGGATGTTAAGGAAGGTCTCGTATGGAATACAAAAGTTATTCACGCAACGATGTACGCTGCACTTTGCGGTCGTTCGAAACTCGAAGTTATACGGTTCTCGAGATACCTGAATATACATGGACGAAATGGGTGAAACTCCTCAATGATTTTTGGTAAATAAAAACTGAATATACAAAAATACACATTTTATTTATTTCCATGGTAAAATTTACTAATTACGAAAATCAAATTATGCCCCAAATCATGAGCTTTTTGCTTTTATTAAATTCACAACAAGAATTAAAGAAAATCTTCACAATCACCACACAATTTGCAGCCTATCTGGAGCTCTTCTAGACCTCACGGGTCTTTTGTTATTACAATTGATTAAATCTTGTTTGCTGTCCTCGTGACTCGGGCTTGGGACCGCCAAGATAATACTGCATAGATCTTTATTCCTTAGCTTCTCAAGAATCAAG